AGAATGAGATACTGTCTTAGAAGAAGAAGAAGAAAAAAAAAGGCAAAGCAGACTGGCAGCATATACACAGTTGTCCACTGAGAATGATAGATACAAAAATATTATAAATAATATTATTTGCATATTTTAATTAAACAGAAAATATTGTCCAGGCACGGTGGCTCACTCCTGTAATCCCAGCACTTTAGGAGGCTGAGGCAGGCAGATCACGGGATCAGGAGATTGAGACCATCCTGGCTAACATGGTGAAACCCCGTCTCTACTAAAAATATGGAAAAAATTAGCTGGGTGTGGTGGTGCATGCCTGTAATCCCAGCTACTTGGGAGGCTAAGGCAGGAGAATTGCTTCAACCCAGGAGGCAGAAATTGCAGTGAGCCAAGATCTCTCCACTACACTCCAGCCTGGCGACAGAGTGAGACTCTGTCTCAAAAAAAAAAAAAGAAAAAGAAAAAAAAGATCAAAAGGGGCTTTTGAAGCTGGTCTCCCAGCGGTCTTCCCACTCCACACACCAATATAGTGTGCACCCTTCAAAGGGAATACCGTTCTCCCTTGAGCTCCAGCAAGCCGGGGTTGAGCTTCCCGAGTGTCTCCACTGATGGCCCCTTTATGGGTTGCAGGTGGGGCCTCGGACCAGCTCCTACCAGACACACTGCCTCTGCAACCACCTCACCTTCTTCGGAAGCACATTCCTGGTGATGCCCAATGCCATTGACATCCACCAGACTGCTGAGCTCTTTGCCACCTTCGAGGACAACCCTGTGGTCGTGACCACTGTGGGCTGCCTGTGCGTGGTCTACGTGCTGGTGGTGATCTGGGCGAGGAGGAAGGACGCTCAGGATCAAGCCAAGGTGAGGCTGAGAACCACTGGTGCTGTGTACACCATCCTGGGGAAAACTCCATTGTTTTCAAATAATATTAGGCGTCACGGGAAGAGTGTATTTGTCTACTTAAGATTTTTTCCAGCCGGGCATGGTGGCTTACACCTGTAATCCCAGCACTTTGGGAGGCCAAGGCAGACAGATCATCTGTGGTCAGGTGTTCAAGACCAGGCTGGCCAACATGGTGAAACCCCATCTCTACTAAAAATACAAAAATTAGTCGGGCGTGGTAGTGGGCACCTGTAGTCCCAGCTACTCAGGAGGCTGAGGCAGGAGAATCACTTGAAACCGGGAGGTGGAGGTTGCAGTGAGCCAAGATTATGCTACTGCACTCCAGTCTGGACAACAGAACAAGACTTCATCTCAAAAAAAAAAAAAAAAAAAAAATTCCAATATATGCCGTATGCCTGACACATACATAGTAGGACTTCAGCCAATATTTATGGCTATCTGAAGAAGAGGTAATGAATGAATGCAAGGTTGCATTGCCACAGAGCTCTGAAAGTCTCTCCGTTCCCACCCCTTCCCGCGAAGCAACATCACTCAGAATTTCATGTGGGTTAAATTTAATAAGATAATAGTTTCAGCACTGATACTGCTGTCTTTGATTCACCCAAGGGATTAAGCATTAATACTTGAAGTGCCTCTGCTGTAGGTTGGTTCCCGGGAAGCAGACTCCGAGGCAAAGTTGAGCATGCAGAGTGTGCAGGGTGTGTAGTAAGGGGGCCTGGGACCTGCATCTGGGAAGAGAGGGAAGGAGGCAGCATGGGCAGAGAAAGAAGCTGAGCTGTGATGCAGCCCAGTGACAGCGCGGCCCAGCTCCTGGGGAGCACCGGAGCTGTCCCAAGTCGAGTTGAGATGCCCTGGGTCTTGACCACACCCAGACACTCTGCCAATTGGTCATTGGGTGCTGGCTGCCCCAAGGGGGCACAATCTCAACAGAGGTAGCTGTTGCATTTTTGACCCCATCAACTGAGGCAATGAACCCTCCGTGGGAGGGGATCTGGACAGAAAATCTTGGAGTTGACTATAGCCTCTGGCCAACTCTGGCTAATTTCTTTTTATTTTCTTTTTGCCAAATTCTTAAAAAAATTTTTTTAATTCTTATGGGTACATGGTAGGCATATATATATGTATGAGGTATATGGGACATTTTGATACAGGCATGCAGTGCGTCATAATCACATTGGGGTAATTGGGGTATCCATGTCCTTGAGCATTTATCCTTTGTGTTACAAACAACCCAATTATACTCTTTTAGTTATTTTTAAATGTACAGTTATTATTGACTACAGTCACCCTGTTGTGCTATCAAATACTAGATCATTCTTTTTTTTTTTTTTTCTGAGAGGGAGTCTTGCTCTGTCACCCAGGCTGGAGTGCAGTGACGTGATCTCTGCTCACTGCAACTTCCACCTCCCGGATTCAAGCAATTTCCTGCCTCAGCCTCCCGAGTAGCTGGGACTACAGGCACCAGCCACCATGTCCAGCTAATTTTTGTGTTTTTGGTAGAGACAGGGTTTCACCACATTGGTCAGGCTGGTCTCTAACTCCTAATCTCAAGTGATCCACCTGCCTCAGCCTCCCAAAGTGCTGGGATTACAAGCATAAGCCACTGCACCTGGCCTACATCGTATTCATTCTTTCTAATTTTTGTACCCATTAACCACCTTGTCTTTCCCCTGATTCGAGCCCCCGCTACCTTTCCCAGCCTCTGGTGACCATCATTCTACTCTCTATCTCCATGAGTTCATTTGTTGCTAAACTATCTTAATGTTTCATTTCTTTAAAATTCCCTCAGAAACACCACCTGGTTACAAATGTTATGAGAAATCATACATTGTGTACAGAGTTTGTACGGTTCACCAGGTCAAACATTCAATATTCTCAGCTTATCAAGTTCATTTCCAATTTAACTACATGGGGGTCATATCTCATAAAGAATGTACTTTGGGGCCAGACGTGGTGGCTCACGCCTGTAATCCCAGCACTTTGGGAGGCTTAGGCAGGCGGATCACTTGAGGTCAGAAGTTTCAGACCAGCCTGGCCAACATGGTGAAACCTGTCTCTAACTACAATACAAAAATTAGCCAGGCATGGTGGCGCACGCCTGTAGTCCCAGCTACTCTGGAGGCTGAGGCAGGAGAATCACTTGAACCTGGGAGCCGGAGGTTGCAGTGACTAAGATCATGCCACTGTACTCCAGCCTGGGCAACAGAGCGAGATCCTGTCTCAAAACAAAACAAAACAAAACAAAACAGGAGGAAGAAAAGAACGTACTTCACGTTTTAATTTTCCCAGTGTTTTGCACTTGAAACCCTGCTTTTATGAAGAACAGTTCTCACCCGAGGGGATGAATAAATGGCACATGTAATTTTGCTTTGCCCAACTCATGATTGTCACGAATCGTCAGCTCCTTCTTGGCTGGTGGGTGATGCAGGAACCCACTGAGCAAGGCCTTCCTAATGCTGCCCTTCTCTTCAGGTGAAGGTTACAGTGCTGGAAGACAATGATCCCTTTGCTCAGTACCACTACCTGGTGACAGTCTACACAGGACACCGACGAGGGGCAGCCACATCCTCAAAGGTACCTGCCCATGCAAGATCCACTGATTGATCAGCACGTCCCACCCAGCCCTGCTATGCCACTGTGGAGTTGCCCACTCCTAGTCTCTGGATTTCAGGTGACTGTCACCCTGTATGGCCTGGATGGAGAGAGTGAACCCCACCACCTGTCTGATCCCGACACTCCGGTTTTTGAGCGAGGAGCAGTGGATGCCTTCCTTCTCTCCACCCTGTTCCCCCTGGGGGAACTGCGGAGCCTCCGGCTGTGGCATGACAACTCAGGGGACCGGCCATCCTGGTGAGCTGGGGGCAGACAAACCATGAGAACCTATGAAGTGCCAGGCCCAGGGCTGGGCACTGTACGTTTGCCTCCTTCCTGATCTTCACAAGCCTCTGCAAGACACATAGAATGATCTCTGTTTCACAGACGAGGAAACCCAGGGTCAGAAAAGCCCACTGGTTCATGGTCCACACAAACTGGATCAGTAGCTAGGAGAAGGACTAGAAGCTACAGCCAGCCTCACCTTCAGTGCTAGCCCCACCCTTACCCCTTTTGCAGCATCAACCTGTGACTTGCCCAAGGTCACACAGCTGGCAAGTTTGGAGCAAGTTTCTCCCCATTCTGAGGCCAAAATGAGAGACCCAGATGAGTGGTGTCCAGTCTGACCACCCGTCAGTAGCTGGTGGCTTTAGAAAAACAATAGCACTTGAATTCACCTACGGGACTAAGCATTAATATCTTTTTTTTTTTTTGAGACGGAGTCTCGCTCTGTCGCCCAGGCTGGAGTGCAGTGGCCAGATCTCAGCTCACTACAAGCTCTGCCTCCCGGGTTTACACCATTCTCCTGCCTCAGCCTCCCAAGTAGCTGGGACTACAGGCGCCCGCCACCTCGCCCGGCTGGTTTTTTGTACTTTGTAGTAGAGACAGGGTTTCACTGGGTTAGCCAGGATGGTCTCGATCTCCTGACCTTGTGATTCGCCCGTCTCGGCCTCCCAAAGTGCTGGGATTACAGGCTTGAGCCACCGCGCCCGGCCAGCATTAATATCTTAAGTGCGGCCGCTGTAGGTTGCTCCCGGGAAGTAGGCTCTAAGACGGAGTTGCATACGCAGGGTATTTATTACAGGGCCCTGGGACCAGCACCTGGGAAAGGAGGGAAGGAGGCAGAATGGCAGAAAAGTCGACCTGTGATGCAGCCCAACAGCAGTGCGGTCCGCCACTGGGCAGCTCTGGGGCTGTCCCACGTTGGGTTGGAACACCCAGGTCTTCATCTCTGTAGGCACTGCATCACTGGATGCCAGCTGCCACAGAAGAGCCTGTGACCTTGACAGAGGTGGCTTTTGCATTCTTACAGGGCTGCCCTTCCTGAAATGAGAAAATGCATGTCGAGAGCATCTTAGCATAGCCCCCACTATATAGTAAATGCTCAGTGAAGAGTGGCTGTTGCTATCATTACGGGTTTTTTTGTTTTGTTTTGTTTTGTTTTGAGGCAGAGTCTCACTCTGTCACCCAGGCTGGTAGTAGAGTGGCACAATCTCCGCTCACCACAGCCTCTGCTTCCTGGGTTCAAGTGATTCTCCTGTCTCTGCCTCCCGAGTAGCTGGGATTACAGGCATGCGCCACCATGCCCAGCTAATTTTTATTTATTTATTTTTTGTATTTTTAGTAGAGATGAGGTTTCCCCATGTTGGCCAGGCTGGTTTCGAACTCTTGACCTCAAGTGATCAGCCCGCCTTGGCCTCCCAGAGTACTGGGATGACAGACGCGAGTCACTACGCCCAGCCATCATTGCTGTTCTTGTTGGCTATATAGCAACAGGGAAAACCGCTGCTCGATCTGACATCACAGGACAGGCAAGATAATGTCAATTCTTCCCCATACCTCAAAGACCTAAATCAGGTTTGATGATACCCACAAAGTCCTCAGCCCAAGATAGATGGTGGTTCTTTGGTTAGAAACGCAAGAGAGGAGGCTGGGCACGATGGCTCACGCCTGTAATCCCAGCACTTTGGGAGGCCGAGGTGAGTGGATCACCTGAGGTCAGGAGTTTTACACCAGCATGACCATCATGGAGAAACCCCATCTCTACTAAAAATACAAAATTAGCCGGGTGTGGTGGTGTATAAATGTAATCCTAGCTATCCGGGAGGCTGAGGCAGGAGAATCACTTGAACCTGGGAGGTGGAAGTTATGGTGAGCCAAGATCACTCCATTGCACTCCAGCCTGGGTGACAGAGCCAGATTCTGTCTAAAATTTAAAAAAAGAAAGAAAGAAACGCCAGAGAGGACCATGTTCTGCGTACTCCAGCCTGCACCTGCCTGAACACATACACACATACACTTTAGACAATTTGGCTTTACTTGCTCATGCCTGGATGCTGGCCCTGAGCTTGGTGCCATGTGTACAGGTTAATGGTCTCCAAATGCACCCTTTTGCAGCGTCTTTGTGGAAACATGGCAGCTTCCCAGAGCTGGCTCTCTACAGTGGCTGAACTCCTCATGCGAGGCCAATTTTGATTAAGGCACCAAGAACAAAGAAAAATATGGTTTCTTTTTTTGAGGAGCTCTTGTTCTTTGGGTTCATGTTTGCAAAGCTGTTACCGTGGTGATGTCCAAGGAAGCCTCCTCCCCTGCTCCACCTTATCCTAAAAACCATGGGTCCCTTATCCAGGTATGTGAGCCGCGTGCTGGTCTATGACCTGGCGATGGACCGGAAGTGGTATTTCCTCTGCAACTCCTGGCTGTCCATCAATGTTGGAGATTGTGTCCTCGACAGGGTGTTTCCTGTGGCCACGGAGCAGGACAGAAAACAATTCAGGTACTTTATTTTTCTTTATTTTTACTTTCTTTATTTTTGAGATAAGGTCTCATTCCACTACCCAGGCTGCAGTGCAGTGGCACCATCACAGCTCACTGCAACCTTGACCCCCCTGGGTCAAGCGATCCTCTCACCTCAGCCTCTTGAGCAGCTGGGACTACAGGAATGC